TATATATATTAAACCCTGGCCTCTCTTTCAATCTTTCACAAGCCTTTTCCAACAGATATAAACTTATAGTTCTCATGAAACAAAAAACAGAAGGCAGAACTTCTGATGAGAGATAAACCTGCTGTGACCTGTCATTAAAACGATAGATATAATTCTTACCTAGCTTTACTCACAAYACTAGAACAGTAATGCAACATTTTAAAACAAAGCCTTCCATTTTGCTTCCACCAGCATTTATTTGGAAAACAGACTAATATTTAATAAAAATGTGAAATATTGCATTGCATCACACAGTAAGCTTAATAACTTCCTGTCAGAGTTGACTCCCTAATCCCAGTTTTGTCTCTCCTAGTCCTCCTCGCATAACAATATTCATCTTCTGACCTGTCACTCTGAGGCAAGTCTCCGTGCACTGATGCAATCAAACAGAAAAAGAAAAAAAATCCCCCCTCAGGTGACACTTTTTGACATGATTCTTTCAGCTCCTTGCTGCTGATTTCACTGCAGGACTTGTGAGCAGTTTGTTTCCTTTCCATCAGGCAAAACCCCTTTCAACAAGAGACCTGCTCAAGTGTTTTTATCAAATAAAAAGGTAAAACTTGTGGCGTTTGCTGTGAACCTGTCTCTAAGCTGTCGTGTGTCTGGAATTCTCTGATCTTTTGCTGCTTCCATGACTGCATACTGCTACGTTTTACTTTGATCATGAAGTTTTTTTTATATTTAAAGTATCACGGCTACAATATGGTTGGGACTTAGTCTGTTACCTACTGGCACAAGGGTCRAGAGGTTGAACCAGTTTAGGGGATCATTTATTGGACCTGCACCAAATAAAAATTCAGTTGAGGCTTATGTTTGAAATTTCTATAAGTTGATCAATTTACTGCTTTATAAGCATCCATTTAAATTTTTATGTTTTTTTTTTTTGTTTTTGTTTTTTTTTTGGCGTATGTCTCGTTCTGCAATTTTTGTGCTATTTAAGCAATTAATTTATCAGCTTTTTCAGCTCCTTCAGGATATTCTCTGGCTATGATTTTAAATCCTTCAGCAATTTGTGATTTTAGAGATATTTAGCTTATCTCGCCCTTTTTTGTTTGTTTGTTTTTCCCATTGAAAATGAATGGAGATGTCTTTAACGTCTTTAAAATTCTTCAAAAAGTTCATAAATCTTAATCTGTTTCTGCTTTTTTAACTTATTTGTGCCACAATAATTTCAACTTCCATCAGCTTCTATTTTGCTGACTTTATTTTTTTCTGCTTTTTTGGCTATCATTCTGACATTTTATATTATTCTGCAAAATTCAACTTCTGCTACTTTAAACTTTTTTCACTTTTTTCCTGCTCTCTTCATTTTTTTCTGCCCCTTTCCGCTATATTTCTACTCTCTTTACCTGCATATTTCTGCATTCAATTCTATTTCCTGTCCCTTGAAGTGTTTTTTTTTGTCACAGCTTGAGTTCTTTTTAAGCATTCATTCAGCTAATTTGTTTCCATCTCAATCGTTAAAATTCAGCAAACATTAAAAGTTTTAGTTTAGTTTAGTTTTAAAATATTTCAGCTTCAACAGCTTTCAGCTAAATTATTCATCATCAATAAGCATTCTTATTGCATTTACACAGGAAATAAAATTTCTCTAGCTTAAGTTCAGTCACAAACACTGACTTCAGTTTCTCAAAATTTSTCTTTTACTTCTTTGTGATTTTTTTCCCCAGTCTTTCAACTGTCAGTTTTCAGTGTTTTGGTCATGAGTCTTGTTATGTTTCTTTTTGTTAGTATTTTTCAGACTATTTTCCATTGTTTGGTATTGTCTAATTTTCTCATTTCCTGTCAGTTTTCTGTTTCCTGTGCCATGTTAGCCTCAGGCCCTTTCCCAGTCGGTGGCTACACCCTCGCCCTACTCCCTACACAACTACACTCACTGTGAAGCACCCTCACAGCTGAACTGAGTCCCCTTGATGGTGCTGAATACACCCTCCTCTTTTGAGACGGGCTCTCCTCACACCACCGGAACAGGAAGATGTCATCACAATGGTAACAGTTCAACCTATGGCAGCGATTGAATGCTGGAGAACAAACACTTTTTTTTAATAGACCGAAGAAAATATTTTATTAGACCCACATTTTAAAGAGGTTTCAGATATGACTATTTGTAACAAACACAGTGTGACAACTTGTCAAAACAATTGCACTTTTAACATTTTTAAAATCATTTATTTACTTTTTCTTTCTTTTTTCTTTTCTTCTTTTTTAAAAWATGGACCAGGGTTCTGTGTCTTTAATAAAGTTTTAATTGAATTAAACATGATTTATGTGAAATTATATTTGTTGGTGAGGTGTTTACTTAGTAAATATGTGTACAAAACGTATGCGGAACTTATATTTATATGTCCCGTGCTCCATACCGACCACTATTTGGTGCTGCACCTGCTGCTCAAGTCTGCACTGGATGTAGACTCGGTGTGGAGGGCTTAATAAGCCACTTGCCCTCATACCTAATTGGTTTCAGATGGGACTTAATATGGACAATCCTCCGCAGGAACGAGCAAACTGAGTGAGTAGGGAGTAGGGCGCGTGTGCAGCCACCGATTGGGAAAGGCCCTCAGTCAGCTTCCAGCCTGCCACACCTGTCCACAGTCAGTAATCACACTGGTGCTTCCTCTCCCCAATCATCCTCTGTAGTATTTAACCAGTCTCTTTGTCTSTAATGCTCCAGTGGATCATTGCCTTTTTCATGCTCCAAGCCCTGTTCTTGCTATTGTTAATGTTTTGTCTTTTGCTGCCACACCAGACTTTTTCTTGTTATTTTATAAACTAGTTTTTGTTTTATTTCACCTTCAAGCCATCATGTCTTCCTGCGTTTTGGGTTCCTCCATACAACAAATCTTGACAATGATCAACTGGAGCAATAGAGACAAGAGACGGTTTAAATYCTACAGAGGATGATTGGGGAGTGGAAACACCTGGGTTGATTACTGACTATGAACAGGTGAGTGTGGCAGGCTGGAAAAACACCAAMAAGCTGACTGAGTGCAACATGGCACAGGAAACAGAAAACTAACATGAAATGAGAAAATAAGACAATACCAGGCAGCAATGAAAAACAGTCTGAAAAATACTAACAAAAAGAATRGTGACAGTTTTCTCTTAACTCAATGTTTAGCTGTTAAATTGTGTCAGACTTTTTTCTTTCTTTTTAGCATAACAGAGTTAGTGATTTTTTTTTCATTCTAATCTGTCCATATTTGTGAGTGAAAACCACAGGCTGTTTCTCATTTGTCTCTATGTGACTCTGTTTTGAACTCTACACCACTCCAGAGTGTTCCTCACCTCTTGCACGGTGACTTCTGGTGACAGGCAACAGTTCCTCCACGACCCTGAACAGAAAAGCGGGTAATGAAAATGGATGGATTGATGACTGTTTACCCAAAGATGTGCCTAACAAAGTACTTGCTACATCAGCAGCACCAGGGACAGTACAAGAGGCTAAWCACAACAAAGCAAACAGAACAGTTGCTCCACAGCTATTTCTGAGAACTGCTTAATAGTCTCTTGTGTCAAAGCTGCACAAACCTCTGTTCACTTCAAGAGCAACAGTTTTGGCYGACTAATAGAACAATTTAAATTCTCTAACAAAAGGAGGAAAAACACCAGTGAGAGCTTTTAATCTAACAAAATCTACCCTCATATTATTTACTGGCTTTTTAATTTTTATATTTAAGATTTGCTTGATTAAATCTTGACCTCAGCAAAACTACCCGAGGAAAGTATTATTTAAATAATAACAATTTGTCAAAAGACTTGGCCTTAAAAAGTGAATAATTAGGAAAGCTTACAAGTGTGCAGTTTAACTCCTTTTGCATTATAAAATCTGAATGATTTTACTTATTAGAAATAACCTGCATTTAAGTTTTACAAACAGCCTCAGGATTAATCATGATTTAATCATTTAAACATATTTTTTTAGCAGATTCACAACATGCTGGTGTTTATTATCACAGTGCGATTTGCATGCCACACGGTGAGCTCTGTGTTGAGTAGATCATGGTCAATTACTGTCAAAAAACAAAGTCAAAACATTTTAAGTGGGRYTCAGTCAAGTGATACCCATCATCCACACTCAACGTGTGGCTAGAAGGGAAATGTAATGGGGTATCTGTGTCTCATAAGGCAGGCTGAGCTGAGATTAATTTTTCATGGGCTCTGTGAAGCAAACACAAAGCTATCCCAAATGTGCATTTGGCTATTTATTACTCTCTGAACACGTTGGCAGAACCATTATTACCTTAAATATGAAGAGTTTGTCTGTGGTAACACAAYATCTAATCAGACTATGCAGATGTGTCCAGCGTCTTCTACTCTGCCTCCAGGAGGAACAACAACTGTGTTTAGAGCTCTAAAAAGGAAGTAAATGTCCTTTTTTTATTCCACACATTTCTGCCGTGTGAAGCTGGAGCCAGTTTTACTTACTTTAAAGATTCTCTGGGAAATTTATGGAGCAGCTGATGCAGCCTCGAGCCACAAGCCTCGAGCAGAGATGAAGATGTTGCTTAGGTGACAGAGGTCTTGTTTTCCTCACTCTGCTCATTTTCAAGCTTGTTAAAAAAAATACACACCATTTTAATCCAAGCTCTCAAACCATTTTTTGTACTAATTTGGTTCAGTGATCTTCCTGCCCTGATTCAACCAACCAATCACACCCTACACCTGTTCTATGCTCCAGGCTACAAATGGTTTAATCCCATTCATTCCGATTTAGCTTTAAATAATCTCAGTTAATAAAACAGTTCATTGAACTCAGAGTTGATGATATACTGAGAAAAGTGACACAAGGATGCACATTTACTGGAAAAGAAACTAAAGAGATTACATTTAAGAAGTTAAATTTATGATTTTATYATATGACAGCAGCATGATGACTGGGTTTGATCCCCAGCTCCGATGGGGTCTTTCTGTGTGGAGTMTGAATGTTCTGTTTGTGTTTGCGTGGGTTTTCTCCGGGTACTCCAGTTTCCTCCCACAGACACAAAACAAAACAAAACATGCACAATAGATTGCCTGCAGCCCCTTTGCAAAAGAGATCTGTGATCTCATTGGGATTTGCCTTGTTAAATAAAGGTCAATAAATGATTCAATTCAAAGTTTTGACACTGATGACATGTTTTATGTATTTTTATTGCCTGCTGCCCAAAGCAGGGACTAACAACACTGTCCTCAAGCATCTAAATACTGTATCTTCATCACAGCCATTTTTACTGCTACAGAGTTCAAATTTGGTGTGGTAGTAACCAAGTGTCATTCCSATCATATATTACAAGCATTAACTAATCATTCTAGATTTTTTTTTAAAACATTGCCAAAAGCGGGTTTCATTGAAACACTTAGTGATTATCAGGTGTACATCTACAATTCAGAATTTGGAGTCAACCCAAGTTAAGATGGATGCTACAGGTAGCTGATCTCACCCTACACACAAAAATGACTAGAACTCTGTCAGTATAAAAATTTTAAGCTAACTTTGGTGTGGTGTGGTTTGGTCTGTCAGAGTCTTCCATCAGACGGCTTCA